TATTTAAAAAACCAATCTATACATTTCTTCATAAATTGGCAGGCTTGGCGAGTACTACTTCGAATAAAAATAGCGTTCAAGTTGCAAGACTATGTCGCTACCCCCTTAAATATACAAGAATTTCCCACTGGCACCTATTGTTTGACAGGTCGTTGGAATGCCTAATTAAATCGTACGGTTAGCAACACTGAGACAGATAGTCGACGTGGACAGCAGTGGACAGTTTGTAAATATAAATGTCAGTTTTATGTATATCGAAGAATCCTGAATTTAAATTTTAAATTTTGAGTTCATGATTGTGTTATCCTCTAGATGAACCAAGCGAAATAGTTGTGGCTGTTTTTGTGTGAAATTTAAGGACAATAATTATATTTTGTAATATTACGATAAGTCGGAGAACGTATTGCATTAGTAACACATGCCACATGAACAAATTTTACAATTCCAATGTGGCGTTCTTTAATTAACCAAAGTAGGTAAGATCTATTCATGTAAGTAACACAAATAGTAATCAAATTTTGTCACAAAGTAGGTGCTTATGTTTTATTTATTGGTTTTAGAACAAGAAAATGGCTTCAAAACGTTAGAAAGAAGATATGATATAGGAAGAAAAATATCTGAATTCCCATTATTGAATTTGCACTCAACATTTTTAAATAAGATGCCAAAATAAAAACAAAAATGCAGTGTTACAAATAACAATCAAAAATTAAAAAATATTTGTCATGAATATGATTTACAATAAGTAATCGGTAATAGACTGTAAGTGTAGTATTCTTTTTAATAAATAATTTAGCGTAATTACATTGTTTAAATTTATTTACAAGAACATGAGAGTGCAGTCGATATTTATGCAATCTTTATTATCAGGTTTTTAATTTCCCGCTGCGTTGATATCTTTGAATATAAATACTCAGGAAGGAGGAATCCCAAACGACCTTGGAATCGCGATGGTATCTAATTTTGACAGTGAACTAGACGAATATGGCGAGAAGTGTTTCCGGTCTACCAGTGACGTACTGTGATAAGGGTGCGTAGAAAAGAGAATAATAAATTCTTATTTGCATATAATCTAAACTTACGGATTTCTCTCATTTTAACGAATAGCTATTTTCTTGCGAGAAGTTTGCATTTTTTTTTTAATTAATCATCATAATGTGAATTAATTTTACTTTAAAATTGCATGTCGGGTGGGATGAATATAAGAAAATATTTTCGGTATAAATTATAGAGGAATATTTCATTTTTGAAAAATCAATGCAATAATTGTATTAATAAAAGAAATTTTGACATTTTTTACGTCTTTATTATGACAATATTTTTATTAATTTAAATTTTACAAATTGTATAAATTTTACAAAAACAGTATGTCGTGTTTATTAAGCTTTGAAAATTAAATGTTTTGTAGATGCCTTAAAAATAGTACATTTGTTCAACAAAAGTGGATATGATGGCCATATCGCACGAAGGCGAAATTTGAGCACAACGCCGTAGGCATGTATTTGTGTTTTTAATTATATTATGCCAGCCTGAGTACATAAAAAACTTCCTAATATCGAAGAGAAGATCTGTTCATTTTATTACATAATATTAGTAATATTTTTTGCTGGACTTAAATTTTGCATAAGTTGGTATAACACCTTTGCATGAAAGGAACATATAAAGTAATAACGATTCTGTGAGTGCAAAATAGATTATTTTTAAATGTACATTCAAATTTGCTCGCAGGAATTTCAATTTTGGTAAAAGGCAACGCATTATTTATATGTTGTTCTAATAATAAATTTTTTTGTTTTAACTCACAAACCATAGATTGCAAAGTTGTTTTTTTTGCTGCCATGTTACCTTTTGTAGTTTTCTTATTTTATTAGTTTTCAAAACATTTTCCTCCTGCAGTTCAGTAATTTTCCTCTTCAGAATTTTTTTTCGAGGAGTATCCTCATCTGAACTCTTCAGAGTTGAGGAAATACCTGGAACAGGAGAAGAACACTGAAGTGGCCTAGAATGTCCTGGAACGGCCAATAAATCTATTTCCTGAAGAACCTTTCTTTGTTTTACAGCCTGAAAATTTGGCACATCTACAGGAATTCTTACTTCAGGATTGTAAGTTCTCACCTGTATATAAATAAAAAAAAAACAAAACAAACATATTTATATATTTTAGGACTATTTAGTTCAGGGTTTGAAAAAACTAAGAATTAAAAAATATATAAGTAGGTTTTTAGATTTTTTAAGGTTTTTAGTTCATATACTATATGTCAAAAGTTATTATTAATAAAATTATACAAAAAATGCAAGCAAATAATTTTATATTAAAAAAAAAATCACATTCTACAAAAAAGTGAAAAATAAATAAATGTTTTTTTTTATTTTTTAAATTGTCACTATAATTAATATCAATATCAAAAAGAATTGATAAAATGTTTGCATTTGTTTTTGTATAATTTTTACACCCTCTCTCCCTAGAGTTGATTAGTAAAATTGTGAATTCATATTATTTATTTTATAAAACTTAAAATTGCAGAATTTTCACTTTTAGGTTTTTAAAAAAACCTAAAAACCTAGGTTCAAAAAACCGGTACATGATGATATAGTTAGAAAAGGATTTATTTACTTACATACTTCAACCGGACCACTTTTATTGTTGGAACGGCTGTTGGTAGAAGTCTTATTCTCAGTTTTGAAGTTCGGTCAAAACAATCCGCTTTAAAATGGCGTGAACACAAAAAATTTAGAGATTTTGGCTCACAATTTGTTTCTTGCAAGAAATCAAGCCATAAATTTCTTTTTTGAGAATCTTTATGAAATCTGAAAATTGTTTACCTGGGATTAATTTATATAATTTGTAAATCTAGAATCTTTAAGAAATCTGAAAACTGTTTACTTGCAATCAATTTATAAATCAAAATTGAGCAATAATTTATTCATTTTAACAACCACATAAATATCTTAAAATTGCCTGAAAGATTTGTGTAAATAGAATATGTATATGTACCCTATAAACCATGAGACTACGCCTATGAGCACAGTTGATCACATACATACTTACCATGTTTGTTTACAAATTTAAAACATTAAAAATTTAAAAAAATATCTGATGTGGTTGATAATTGAGAGAATAAAATACTTGCTTATGAAATGTAGTCCCTTCTTTTAGCTGTGCTGCTGTATCCACAAGAGCAACAACTGACCATATTGTAATGTTTGTCTTTTAACGCGAAAAACTTAAAATTAACACTAATACTGACTAAATACTAACACACTAAACACTTTTTAAGAAGGTATACAAAACATACGTTTGATAAATTTTAAATTAACACATAAAATATCCAAATTATTAACAAATTTTAATCACTAAAATTAGGAACCAATTTTAGACACAATTTATCATATGATGATGAGCACAGAACACTTACTCATGATGAGTCATCCATAGTACAACATGGCTACCACTTCCGTCAGATTGATTAGATTAACGCAGACATAGCATGCTCCTTCCTGATTATTTATATTCAAAGGTTGATATCGATGAAAGCGCCACATAGTGGGTCAGATGTTAACTACGATAAAGCTGGTCGTTGTTAGGCATTGGCTTCTTATGGGCGTTTCCTATCTTTATCTCCCTTATCTCTGGAAGCGGGCACAAGGGAAAAGGTAAAAACCCCTCTGGTTCAGTGGCGTATCATTTCTCCGTAAGAACACACATTGTCCAAACTTTTTAATTGTAAAAAACTAAAAAATTCGCTAATTTTACTATTTTTAAAATGTATACCATCTTATGTGTCTAATACAGGAAATAAAACAAAATCACTGTAAAGGTCTAATTTTTTTCAATTAAAGAATAAAACCTCAAAATCAATACATCAATTTTATTATAAATATATACAAGAAAGATTAGTTTCGACCAGGGGCGGTTTTTCCATTTGTTTATTTGTGCAGTGAACACCCAGTTCAATTTCATAAAAACACATTATTTTAAAATTACATAAATAACATAAAAATATAAGTAAATTTAATTTTAATATTTTTATTTTCATACGTGTTAATCTATATTTTTTGGTACATCATTGTCCTCTAGCTGATCGCATCTCTGTGGCACAGTATACCTAAAACTTAAGCTTTAATTCATCCTACAGTGAGCTGATTAAATTTTGGGCATAGTCTGAACATCTAGGGAGGGTCGTTATGTTATTTACGCTTGGAGAAGAAAATTCTTCAAATAAAAGTTGCTTATGATAACATTTTCTATAATTCTTGTTTTATGAATAATTTTCCTAAAATGGTTTGTATTCGTAAAATTCAACAAAAAATGCAAAAATAAATTTTTAAGAAAATTGTTCAAATAAACATACAAAATGTTATTATTGCTATTAAAATGTTTCATTCAATAAGAAAATTGTTACGTTTAACATAGAGGATAAAAGGACAACATATTTGAGATTAAATTCAACTACTACTACTATTTGTAATGAGAACGTGCAATTTTAACATGATTAAAACATTTTGTACGTTCCCACAAGTAGGAACAATTAATAGCCTAACTAGTAGGCAGAGATAAATAGACTGTATGTCTTTCAAAATTGTTCTATTAAATAATAGTTTAAAAAAATGAATAAAAAATAATAAAATGGTTAAGAAAAAACGATTGAGGAAAATCACTTACCCAAACTACATCTAGGGGTGACGTGAGAACTCTCCTTAATTCCGGTATCCAAGGGATGATCCAGGCTTTCTTCCTACCACAGGTTTTTATTCTAATTTTACAGATAAGAACATTTTGCAGCAAAAATTTAAAGTTTACCGGTTCTCTATACGGTTTATTTCGCACTGACCTTTTCAAAGGTCTTTTCATCGTACGAATCTACAATCGTGATTCGGTTTCAAAATACGGTTAAATATATTTGAACCTACTAATAGGCAACTCAAATTACACGGGAATGGATGCAGTTGTTTAATAAATTACAAATAAAAATTTGAAATGATTAGGATTCAACACATTTATTATTTATTATACATTTTATGTAAACAATTCTCTATAGCTGTACACATTAAACTTAATTTTTATATAGGTATAATATATTCATATCTTGCTGGGTATCGAACTGACAGTTTCGTGAATAGCTTTTGCCACATAATGCACGTTGCTGGGATTCAATCCAGCCATACTGATTCGTCCGGAACACAATAAGTAAACGTGGTGCTTTTTGACCATATGCTCAGACTGAATCTCTGAAAATAAAACAATTGATCACAAAAAAATTGTACGATATCGAACAGACCATAGAAGTGAAACTTCCTAGATGAATTCGATCTGAAATAAATAATGCGAGGGGTAAATCATTCCTAAAATACTGATAAGTTTTTACACGGAATCACTACAAATTTTCTCGACAATTCCGAAATCACCATCTAAAATTATGATCGAAATCATCGCAGAAATCACTTCGAAATCAATTCCTTACTTGAAAACGTAAATGCAGCAACTTGTGGGTCAAAATACAAGGGGATAGTTAAACATTTTTAAGAGATTCCCCACATACGGGTACGCTGTAACCTTCGAAATAATGTATTTAAATTTTTTTAAATTTATTTAAATTTATGTAAATTTATTTTTATTCATTTCATTTGAATAAAGAAAATTTCCTGTTCGTATAGTCTATTTTTATGTATGAGAGAGCAATAAAACAGCATTTATAATGCAACACTTAGTACGGTCATTTTAAATATTTTTACAGAATAATCTAAATATTTCCTAAAATTGTAATAAATGTACCTGAGCTATTACAAGTTTTGGGTCTTTTATTGGTCCTTTATAAACATAAGCTGTACAGAACAATAGAAAAAGGTTTGGACAAGCCAAAAGCTATGTGTATTAAAGATTATTTTCAATAAGTACCTATTTGCCAATTTTGTTTTATTTTAATTCCAAGAATTTCTTACAGTAATCGAATTATAAGTAGATAAATACCTTCCCAACAAATTTCACCGAAAATGCGATTATAGGTTTTCCATTTAGTAAGGAGGTCCAAGTTGTGTATTCTTGACAGTTTACTACATTTCGTTTAGTTGCAACTTGCAAGGTGCAGTGTGAATTCTAGTGTGATCATGGAAAATTTGGAAGGACCGCGTAAACGACAAAAAATCGGTCCTTTAACAGTTAATTGAAAAAACATTAATATTTAATTGTTTTAAATCATTTACAGACAAACATTTATGTAAAAGTGTTGATGACACAGTGGAATTAGTTAGTAGTACGCTTGGTGTTGGAATTAGTAGTACGCTTGGTGTTGGGAAATCTACGATTTACAGAGTTGTTAAAGAAGAGAAATGTGGCGAGTTTCAAGCAGCACGTAAAGCTCCAAGAAAACCAAAATTTCAATTAGAAAATCTTTTAAAAGAAAGACTTCGAAGGAAAGTGCATGCGTTCTTCTTTAGAAAAAAATTTCCGACAGTAGACAAAGTTCTTGCCACGGTTCGAGATGATAAGGATTACCCTGAAATGAGTCAAAGCACACTATGGAAACTTTTAAAAGAAATAGGTTTTCTATGGAAAAAGCATTCCAGAAAGTCTATTTTAATAGAAAGAAGCGATATTGTAGTATGGAGAAGAAATTACCTAAGGACTATAAAAGAAATGAGAAACCAAAGAAGAAATATATTTTATTTAGATGAAACATGGATCAACGAGGGACATAAACCAAATAAATTTTGGCAAGATGAAACTGTTACAAGTCGAAGACAGGCTTTTTTAAATAATTTATTTACTGGTTTAAATCCACCATCAGGAAAGGGGCGCAGACTGATAATAATACACATCGGTAGTTCAAACGGTTTTGTTAAAGGTGGTTTATTGACTTTTGAATCTACTCGTACCGGTGACTACCATGAGGACATGAATATCTTTAAAGAGTGGTTCGAACAAATTATAGATCTTCTTCCTCAGAACTGTATAATAGTAATGGATAATGCAAGTTATCACTCGAGACTTATAGAAAAAATGCCCACAACCAAGTGGTTAAAAAAAGATTTACAGAATTGTCTAAATTCAAAGAATATTAAGTTCCATCCCGGTTCTGTGAGAAAAGAACTGTATCATTTGTGTTCCCTTCATAAAGAGAAATTCAAAAAATATGAAATTGATGAAATTGCAAAAAAATCGTGGGATGACGGTGATTAGATCACCACCATATCATTGCGAAGTAAACCCGATTGAACTGATATGGGCACAGATAAAGGGAGAAGTTTCAAGAAAAAATAATTCTTTTAAGATGAGTGATGTTAAACAGTTGTTTTTGGAGGCTGTAAATAATGTGAAGCCTGAAAACTGGGAAAAGGCAGTAAATCATACGATTAAAGAAGAAAAGAAAATGTGGAAGTTGGACAATATTACTGATAAAATGATCGAGCCACTCATTGTAAATATTGGTTGCGACAGTTTATCTTCTGATTTCGATTCTGATTTGGATTTGTAGGTAAGAAGTAGTTTTTATATTAAAATTATTATTTATGAACGTAACGTTGTTTAAAAGTCAAAGTTTAAACCCCTATACCTACATAACCCGTTTGACACAATGTTCTTAACATACCTTGTGGAAAAATAAAACATTTTAGAAAAAATTGCACTTTTTTACCTTCAGCTATTTATAAGTAATAAGCAGGTTAATTAGGTGAAAATATAAGTGTATACTCGAGGAATAACTTCAAAAAATATTTTAACTGTCTACTAAAAGAAGTGATACGCCTATGGATTACGAACACTTTATTATTTTAATACTCTCTCATACATAAAAATAGACTATAGAATTTTATATAAATAAAATTTTTTCTTGGTTTAATCGGTCAAATTTTTTTATTTTATATTGTTTAGCACACTACATATGTTTCGGAAAATACAATTTTTTCATCTTCAGGTGCAGTCAATTTATAGATATTATGGGGACGAATTCAAACGGTTTAAAAAAATTTAAAATAATAAAACGCCATCTTTCTATTTCACATCGTGTAAGATGTATTCGAAATAATAATTTGGTTTAAGACGATAAAGTGGGAAAACAAAAAGATGAGTTTTTAGAAAGTTGAAAATTTCCAGTGGCGTTACAGCTAAGGATTAAAAAGCTTACAATTATTTTATAATATTAAAATAAACGTTTGATAAGTCTTTTATGTTTGTTTTATTATTTACAGAGTTGTTATTTTTTTAATATGTATCATCTCAAGGATTGTTCTTTTGTTGAGATTAGGTTCATTTTCGAGAATTCTTACATTTTCAAAATCGAGAGAGTGCAAATTTTCTAACGCATGTTTAGTTAGGGCAGTGGAATTTGCATTATAAGTTGCGATATTATTTTTATGGTTTGACCGATTAAACCAAGAAAAATTTTTATTTATTTAATATTCATTTTATGTTTTTTTATTACTTATTCTCTTTATTTTTATTTATTTTTTAAAACTTGGTAAGTATATTTATTTATTAAATAAAACATAAGAACTATAAAAATAACAAAATACCTAAATAAAATCGAAACGTTTGTGTTACCCTGGTCACGACTTTATTTGTTCTATCTTAAACTTTAACTTCTTCCTAGACTCGATGGATGATGGTGCTGTCGCTCCCGTAACTTGTAGACCGTTCATGTCGCGTTACCAGTTGAACTCAAGTTCTGGGCATGTCATCGCGTTGCAATATTCATTTATTTTAATTCGTTTTTATTTATTTATTTATTGATTTTTATTATTTTATTTTTATTAATTTGATTTTTATTAATTTGATTTTTATTAATTTATATTAATTTTTATTAATTTTTATTAATTTTTATTAATTTTTATTAATTTTTATTAATTTTTATTAATTTTTATTAATTTTTATTAATTTTTATTAATTTTTATTAATTTTTATTAATTTTTATTAATTTTTATTAATTTTTATTAATTTTTATTAACTTTTATTAATTTTTATTAATTTTTATTAATTTTTATTAATTTTTATTAATTTTTATTAATTTTTATGAATTTTTATTAATTTTTATTAATTTTTATTAATTTTTATTAATTTTTATTAATTTTTATTAATTTTTATTAATTTTTATTAATTTTTATTAATTTTTATTAATTTTTATTAATTTTTATTAATTTTTATTAATTTTTATTAATTTTTATTAATTTTTATTAATTTTTATTAATTTTTATTAATTTTTATTAATTTTTATTAATTTTTATTAATTTTTATTAATTTTTATTAATTTTTATTAATTTTTATTAATTTTTATTAATTTTTATTAATTTTTATTAATTTTTATTAATTTTAATTTATTTAATTTATCGAGACATCGAGATTTGTCGTTGTCAAGGTATCGGGATATCAATTTTTTTTTTTTATAAATTCATTGCTCATATTTTTCATACCAGGGTGAACCATAAGAAGTTTCACGTCAAAATATTCCAAAAAAGTGATAAAAATACTGCCCCACAATATAGGAAAACCAACATTAGAATAAAATTGAAATAAACTTTCTTGAAATTCACTATCAATCAAATTTTCTACCAGCACTTACCATTTAGACCTGTATATGAAAACATGCCTATGTGTTTAGTAAGATGGCTCCAATTCCCGGGAGTATCAAGTTGTTCTAAAGCCTCTCTTAATTGCTTTCTCATATCGATAATTCTTGAAGACATAGTTTTAATGTGATCCTCCCTAAAATAAATAAAAATTATTGCTAATGATTTGTCAAATGTACTAAACATAGTAAAAAATAATCCAACAACACAAAAATTGTACAAAAAAAAAGAAAGAAAAAGTACTTAATTATTCTGAAATTGTAGTTTATTTCTTAACTTCACTTTTTTGTATATTGCTTCTAAAATTGCAGTAAAAGAATATGAAACATACCATTGGCTCAATAACTCTGGGTTAGTGAGAACATATTCGACTATTCTAGCACCATGAGATGGAGGACTTGAGTACATTCCTCTTACTATGAGAGTAAACTGTGACTTCGTGGCAGGTATTACTTCTGGATCGTTAACAACTACGGTTAAGTTTCCAACACGTTCATCTAAAATCATTATTATTTAATCACAATTTTGATGCAAGCAAAACATTTTTTCAAATAAGTTTTTAAAAGACTCAAAAATAAGATATAGAATTACAAAATCTTAATCCGGTTCTGGACTTGTGAACCAAAAGTTAAACGAATTAATAGGTTTGTTCCAAACGCGCGGAAACGGTAATATTACGGTACAAATCATGCGCTTTACACAAAAATTGTATACAGCGCATGATTTTTACAGAAATATTATCGTTTTTGCGCGTTTTTTTTATGAATATATCATTTTTTTTAATGATTTATTTTAATGCACTTACTATAGAGTCCAAAATTTTTGGCAAAACTCTGAGCACAGAATAATTCAAAGCCCAGTGAAGCGAACCTTCACACTGCAAATGCATCCTTGGTCAGGTTCCCGGAAGCGAAACCTTGATAAGCGCAGTCAAAGAATGGAAATAATGTTCGTTCTTTCATAATGTCTATAATTTGGTCCCATTGTTCGGGAGTAGGATCAGTTCCTGTTGAAAAAACAGTTGGTGAACAAATACCGGTGTTACTTCCGAATATTTCTTTGGTAAAAATGTTCTGTAGCATATGTCGCTGGTGTTAGAAGAATTGGGTTCTTTTGTAGAAATAACTAACGAGTCATAGGTAGTAGAAAAAGAAGTGTTTTTTATTTACTATTTTCACTGAAGTAAATACATAATGGTTGATTCCATTTATATATAATAATTTTCTTATCTTCACTAAACACTTTTAAATATTTACAATTTTAGTTCATCACAATTTGATTAATACAGTTGATTTTTTAGTTACCAACTTGAAAACATTTGTTTGTAGAATTTCTTATGCCATGATAATTGTAGAAGATATAACTTGCACCAGAAAATAAACTGCATTAAACGCTTGTAAGAATGTAGAAAGTAACGTGCCGTCGGCAGAAAGCACCTGAACGCGATGATGGCAAAAGGACAACTGAATCGTTAGTGGCAATAAGACAACTGAATTGGTGGCAATAAGACAACTGAACTGAATGCCGTTCGCGTCGAGCTCACCCTAATATATACTGTTGGGACGAAATGAGTGTCCGGGCCATAGTTGACGCACCTATTCGGTTTCAACCAATGAAAACATCATGACATAATGAAATACGTCATTTGTGTTTCGTCAACTATGCGCCGGACACTCATTTTGTTCCACTGCACAGCTGTGCACACAGGTGTTCGACGTTCGGTATTCTGAGAAAAATGCTATTTATAGTTTTATGACTTCACATTATATTAGGGTAAAAAGCAGTCGAACTATTTGAGAATTGTTTATTTATTTAGTAGATGTAAAATATTAATTTGTTGATGTTTTTACTGGTGAAATTGTAGAATTTAACCAGTTGGTAATAAGTTTGTTTAATAAATTTTAAAAATTTAATATAAAGAGATCTTTGTTTATACTTAAAATGTTTAATTGCAAAACTCACAATAAAAAGATACAATTTTTCGTCGATACAAATAGAACAACTTAGATATAACATTCAAAAGTATTAGAACGAGACTCCAGAATAATAGTTACAGGGTGGCGCAAAATGAACGTTATGATTTGAAGGCTTTACAACTTTTTTATTTATAAATTTATTTTGTCTTTTGTTTCAGAAATTTGTAAAGAAGGCTTAGCAAATTTAAAATGGAGTAATAGAACAAAGGGCGAAAATCATCGAATTTTATTTTTCAAGCGGAAAGTCAGTTATTCTGACGCAGCGTGCGTATCGCCGACATTTTATTGTGCGGCTTGGACCCTCAGTGTCAACAATAATTCGCTTGGTTGCAAATTTTTAGCAGCAAGGTTCAGTATAAGGAACCGTCCTGGGGGTCAATTCTCGACTCGTAGGAATATTTTCCTATAGGAATTTTTGACATTTTTATATACATTTAAAATTTATGACATTTTCCTACATATAGGAAAGTGTCACAAATTTCTATAGGAAAATATTTCTACGAGTCGAGAATCGACCCCCTGGTAACGGAAGACCACTTACAGCGCGCACCGGCGAAAATATTGAACGTGTACGGGAGAGCATGGAAGAGAGTCCTGAAACATCGATCTTCGGTGATATTATTTCGCGCAGAAGCGACTCTAATTGGCCACCGCGCTCGCCGGATTTGACCGCTCCAGACTTTTTTCTTTGGGGCTATTTGAAAGAAAAAGCCTACGTTAATAAGTCACAAACCATCCCTCAACTAAAGGATAACATTTGCAATGAAATCCGTGCCATAACACCTGAGATCTTGCGAAAAGTCATGGAACATGCGTTGGAAAGAGTACGACTTTGTGAAGCAGAAAATGGGCGACATTTGCGAGACGTAGTTTTTCACGCTAAGGCTAAAATTATTTCCCATTTATAGGCTACATTTTCATAGAACAATGTTGAAAATTTATTTAAAAATAAAAAGTTACAAAGCATTTAAATTATAATGTTCATTTTGCGCCACCCTGTAGTGTAGAAACGAAAGCATGCGTCGGGTCCTTTAATGTAGCGGTAGACAATTATTCATTGACAGTTGACGTTATTTCCACTTAGGCTTACGATGGGAATCAAATTTGCACACTGAGAAAAAGATTGAAATAAAAATGAATATATAATGCGCTGCAAAGTATAATAATAATAAAATGTACAAGGTCGACAATAATAGCAGTTAATATTGCCTTTAGTCTAGAGCACCACCAATTACTATTTATAAGCTTTGATTTTGATGAGCAACTTTTCTGTAAATAATATTCAATTCTTTTGTTTTATGTACTATCAGTTAAATAAATTTTTGTTTTTCATTTATTATATACCTTAGAAACTTTTTCCTACGTGCACTGTGACTTATAAATTGACTCAATTCTCAATTTTAAACTAAAATAATCTAGTTAGTATCATTTTTAATGTTTTCTACATAAATAGTGTATTTTTGGAAGTACATTTTTATAATTCATCTACTTTGTTAAAAACAGTTCGTCAATATAAAATTTTTCTGAATTTTAGAAAAATTTATAGTTTGTTTCAACAAGTCGATGTATTTCAGTAACACCCGGTATACAAGAACAGTATTGTGTTGTGTAGATTAAAATAAAATTGTGAGTATAGGGATACAATTTACCTCTTGATTGTAGTGTTCTGTTTGAAGTGAATTCATAATCTAGGCAATCTTCTATTTTCAAAAGCCTGACATAATAAAAATTAACCAATCAAAATTGATTTATATATAATTGCTATCTTATCGCCATTTCCCAATACATATTCGTTCATATCACGTAAATATATTTTGAAAAGTTTCAAATATTTCACAACTGTCCAAACATAATTTTATTGTAACAAATTTGTATTATTTATAAATAAAAACTTATAGAAATTTAAAGTAATATTGCTCATAAATAAAACCATTGTATAAGTAGTCCTAGTAGGTCAGCCCAATGCATTTATTTGTTTGATACCAAAAGGAGACCACCACTAGGGGGCCAGTCTATTTGAGTCTCTTTAAGCTAGAAATGGCTAGAGCTTTTGCTAGTTTAAAATAGATAGCAGAATAAACTTAAAGAAAGTTGCCATTTTTATTCCACTCTGTATTGTTTTCATTGGATTTAAAAATATGTCAAAGCATTGAATAAATATATCTAGTAAGTCAATGTTTATAAAGAAAAAGTTTCATTTTATTATGCTCGTCACATGGCGGTTCCAAGCGGACGGTACCGCAAATTAAAAAAGCCCTAAGCAGAAGATAGTTTTCTAGATGCCGGTAAAAGAAGTTGGGATTGTTTGTTCAACCGTACAACGTTGTCATTTTGCGAATTTTTTGGATCGTACATCGTCTCTATTTCGTTCTATTTTAACAAAACTGGCAAGTATAGAAAACTAGTTTACCAGCTTTATAATTGCGATTTATTAGAAGTCGCTTATATTTTTTAAGTTTGGTGGTCTACCATATTACGCATATTTCATATTTGGCGTGAATTCAAGCCATCGGTAGATATTTAACATTTTTGTCTTTATGTAGGTAGGTAAATCGATAATTTTGTTATTTATCTTCGTATAAATATGATGGAAATAATAAAATCGTATGAATGTTTGTTATCTAGAACCGTAATTTACGAAATTATTATACTTATATTTTTTAATAGAATGTAGATAGATAGTTTGGATAAAAAAAATTGGTAATTTACAGGGTGAGGAGAATGAAAATATGTTGTTAGTAATGAGTGATGAAGCCCATTTCCACCTTGATGGGGCCGTCAATAGACAAAATTGCCGGTACTGGGCTGACGAGAATCCACGACAGTTAGTCCTAAGGTAACAGTTTGGTGTGCGGTGGGAAACTTTGGCATCATTAGCCCATATTTTTTTGAAGAAAATGGGGTCACCGCTACAGTAACATCTGAGCATTACATTCATATGGTGAATACCTTTTTCATTGCAAAGAAGAAGTGACGATATTTAAGATTTGTGGTTCCAGCAAGATGGGGCCACGGCACACACCGCCAGAGCATCTATGGCTGTTCTTCGCCGCCTGTTTCCAAATCGTCTAATTTCGAGATTTGGTTTTTATGGCCTCCTAGGTTTCCCGACTTATCAATTTGTGATTTTTACTTTCCTATCTGTATACAGATATAAGGAAAGTATAGGAATCATTATTTTTTTCGACCTCCAGTTTTCGACAGATTTTTACGTTTTGAGGTCCCTTGAATCCGTTTCGATTATTTTCGCGATGCTGTCTGTATGTCTGTGTGTGTGTCTATGTGTGTGTCTGTGTGTCGCATAACTCATGAACCGATACACAGAAAAACACCAAATTTCAAACTTAAGCTTTGTTCCAGCGTCCAATGAGCTGATTAGATTTTGAGTAGAGTCGGAACATCTGGGGGGGTACTTTATGGGTGGTCATTTTTATATTTTATGGAATATATCTGTTATTTACGTTTGGGGAAGAAAATTCTTCAAATAAAAGTCACTTCTTATATTATTTGTTTTATACAAAATTTTCCTAAAATGGTCCTTATTCGAGTAATTTGACAAAATGTAAAAAAATATTGTTTTATAAAAATTGTTCAAACAAAAGTTATTTGTAATATAATTTTTATCCCATACATAATTTCTCTAAAATGGACCGTATTCGAGATATTTGAGAAAATGTGTAAATTTCGAAATTTGAAGAAAACTCAAAAACGGATAAAGAAAAAAACATTAAATTTCAAACTTAAGTTTTATTTAGGCCTGACGTGAAATGATTAGATTTTGGACAAAGTCGGAACATCTGGGGGGGTACTTAATGGGAGGTCGTTTTTATATTTTATGGAATATATCTGTTATTTATGTTTGGAGAAAAAAATAGTTCAAATAAAAGTTATTTCTAATATTATTATCTATAATTTTTGCTTTATGTCAAAATTTTCTGAAATGGTCCGTATTCGAGAAATTTAACAAAATGTGCAAAATTCTGATTTTTATGAAAATTGTTGAAATAAAAGTTGTTTGCGATATGGATCTCTATAATTTTTATTTATACATGATTTTTATAAAATGGACCGTAGAAAAATTGTAGGAAAAGTGCTAAATTTAAATTTTTCAGTAGTTTCGTTTTCAATAAATATCTATAGAAAAATGTTTCGAGGTAGATGTATGTGGAAAATGTATATATTTAGTTTATCCTCTAAACATTAATAGAGGTGCTGCAATAGGTTGTACAAAATAACCGGAAAAAGCCTGTAATAACTAGATAGGAAAGTCATGTATTGGACACATCAGATTTTTTTTTACGAAACGGGCCATTTTTTCAAAAAGTATGCAAACCCGGGGCTAGTGCCACTTATTCTCTTTGCACATAAAAAATTATGGTATTACCTTTAAAATTGTGCCTTCTAGGATTAAACCAAAATGCCTATTTATACAAATTTCTTGCTATTGTCAGCGGTCAACGGAGCGGTAACTCTTAACAATATTACGAAAATCAGTTTTCTTTACTTTGACATATTTTTAAATCCAATGAAAACAATACAGAGTGAAATAAAAATGGCAATTTTCATTAAGTTTATTCTGCCATCCATTTTAAACTAGCAAAAGCTCCAGCCGTCTCTAGCTTAAAGAGACTTAATTAGACTGGCCATCTGGTGGTGGTCTCCTTTTGGTATCAAACAAATAAATACATTGGGTTGACCTACTACAATACAATGGTATAAGCAATAGAATATTTCATAAATTAACATAAAGCAATACAGGTGCATAAAAACTGATAGAAAGCAATTATTTAAAATAATTACCTGTTGTAGCTGCAATACTAAATGATTCTAAACCCAAAATCGGCAAATATTCCTTATTTAAAGAGTCATTATCGGCTAATTTTCTTTCAACATGTCGTACAACAGGAAGAACCCAGGGCTTGCCTTCTGCTGTCCGGTATACTGCACAAAATAAAATCGGGGTTTAATAAAGGCGTTTTGGACAATTTTAAAAGGAAATAATCCTCAAGTGACTAAACTTTACCGGCCCAAACTCAAAATTACCCTAAAATGTATTACCTAATTTCCTATAGAATTTAATGGCTTACCTCCAGCAGTCAAATTGACTTTTTTTTCAAACGTGTCTTCGTTGAAGGCCTTCATAAGAGCAAAAATCGCCACTGGAGGTCCCAATTCTACTTCTAGTTCGGAAAACAAAGACATTGTTTCCGGGATATTTATTAAAAACCTTAATACAAAAAATAAATACTGTAAGTTGCCGGTAAACAAGCACTAACTATTAAAATATTTTTCTGCAGCCGTCCCGAAAATAGAACTTTCGGTATGATTTATTAAATCGAAAGTGAAACTTTACACAAATCGTACCGAAAGTAGCTATTTTCGGAATGTTTTTTTTACTTTCGGGACGATTTTTTTACTTTCGGAATAATTTTCAATATCTATGTAAGGCGGCCTTAGCAATGACATTTACGGAATTGTTATTATGACATCGCTTGTCAAAATAAATTTGTTGATAGTTCAACTGTATTTTCAATTTTCCGATCCAGAAATGGAAATCGACAACGAAAGTGACGAGGAAATAATTATTCCACATGAAATCAGGGAAGCTGCTAAAGTCGCTACTTATGAGTTGTTGCCGGTAAAGTCAAGAGAAAGGTATGAAATGGTCTATAACAGTGGTCGCCAACCTGTCGATCGCGAGCTACCGGTAGCTCGCGGAGGAAATTCTGGTAGCTCTCACAACGATTTTAATTTAATAAATACAAACTGCAAAAATCAGAGAAGCTTCCGAAAATTCCACAAAAAAATCTAATTGTCACAATATTAAATATAAACAGCGGCAACGTTGCGGTGAGCGATCTGCCGCTGACGCCATCAAGCTAGAATCGGCTAGAACCGACCAGCCGGACCAGCGCGTTAGTGTTCGAGAACGATCAGGATTGCTTTGAACGGGATAAATACGCACGGCGCGGCGACATTGCGCTTAGTTTAAAACTGAACGCGTAACCAACGTCCAGCGGTTGGGTTAGTAGAGAACAACAAAAAATAATATTCAGTCAAGCAATTGTAAGAAGGTAAAGACATATCACTTTCATTCGGAATAGGAAAAACAATAGTTTTTTACAGAAGTTAAAGATAAAAATGTGTGTTTGTTATGTAATACTTCGGTCTCCGTTGCTAAAAAAGGAAATATTGAGAGACATCATAAAACTGTACATTCTAATTTTGAAAAATAATTCCCACTACATTCTGCCGCCAGAAAGGAGAAACTGAAACAGTTAAAAAAGCAGTTAATTGGACAACAATCAATATTTTTAAGAACAGTCGACAAAAATAAGGCTGCAACTAAAACATCGTACCGTGTGTCCCAGATAATTGCACAAAAAAAGAAACCTTATGAAGACGGGGAAATGATAAAACAGGCGTTTTTAGAAGCTGCTGATTCGTTATTTGCCAACTTTAGCAATAAAGACGAGATAGTTTCAGCTATAAAATCTATGCAACATTCTGCTAATACAGTGATGAGACGTGTAGAAGTAATGAGCAATGATATTTTAAGAACTGACTTAGATAACTGTTTATTTTTCACTTCAACTGGATGAATCAACAGATGTCGTTGATACTGCTCAGATGAGCGTGTTCGTCAGGATGGGTTTTAGTGATTTTACGATTAAAGAAGATCTTTTGAAGTTTATTCCACTGAAAGGACACACTACTGGACAGGAGTTGTTTTCTCATTTAAAAAATATTATTTCTTCCGAGAAAATTCCAATATCGAAAATGGTAGGCTTGACAACCGATGGCGCTCCAGCTATGGTGGGTTGTGATAAGGGTCTGGTGGCGTTATGTCGTAAAGATGAAACTTTTCGCAATTTCTCTCTTACCACTGCATTATCCATCAGCTAGCATTATGTGGAAATTTCCTGCAACTAAACAACATTATGAAACTGGTGGTAAAAATTGTGAACAAGATTAGAGCTCAAGCGTTACAAAGAAGATTATTCAAAACCTTGGCCGATGAAGTTGACTGTCAATACGGGGACCTACTCCTTCACTCTGAAGTCCAATGGTTAAGTAGAGAACGGGTGCTGAAACGTTTTAATGATGTCCTATCTGGCATAGTTCAATTTTTCAAACAACGCGATGAACCGACTCCGGAACTAGAAAATTCAATCTGGCTTAGAGATTTTGGTTTTCTCGTGGACATTACAGAGAAATTAAACGAACTTAATTTGCAGCTTCAGGGGAGAGACAAAGAACTAGCGGAAATGATTTCTGATATAAAAGCATTTATCAAAAAGCTGGAGTTTTGGGAACAAAACCTAATTAACAGCGATGTCAAGCATTTTCCTATTCTTTCAGAAAAAATATCTCAAAATCCATTAGAACCCTATGACAGCAAATATCATGTAGAAATAGTTTCTACCCTGAAGAATAACTTCAAAAATCGTTTTAAGGATTTCAACGAAATGGCTTTAGTAGCGCAGTTTGTTGTTTCACCCTTTATGGAAATTTATATCCAACAGTTTGCAACTTGTGTTATGCAGAATTTTGGCGAAGACATCGCTGCAACAGAAATGGAAGTAATTGAGTTTCAAAATGATTTAGCCTTAAAATCGTTAGTCTCAAGTACCAAATGTATCTGGCCTATTGTAAGTAAAGACAAATATTCAGTTCTATGCCGTGTTGCCTTGAAAGTGAAAGCATTATTCAGTTCAATGTGAATCTTCTTTTTCCAATATGAAGTTTATTAAGAACTAATATCGCAATCGACTTACAGATGAACATTTGGATATTTGTATTCGAAAGGCTGTATTAAATTATACTGCAAACATTAAAAAAATTATCGACGAGTCTGAGTGTCAGCCTTCTCATTGAACGTGCTTTTTTATTTTTCAATGTTTATGTTCATGATAGTGCGTTACTTTTTTGTTGTTATTATCAACTATTTTTAAATTTTACGTGACATGCCGTTGTGGCTGGATAAAAGTTTGTGTTTATTTTTCAAACACCTTCGTTTGGTAGGTAGGAATGTAGCTATGAACAAGTACGTACTAGCAATATTAGTTATTTTGTTATTAGTTTATTATTAGTACCTATGTATTATGTATTACCAGTTAAATAGTAAAATAAATATATATAATGATAAATTAACTGTGGATTATTTCATTTACGTTGCGTTACGTGGCTTCCGTGTGGATAGCTCGCTGTCTATTCCAAAATTAACAAAGTGGCTCAACACATTGAGAGGTTGGCGACCACTGGTCTATAATTTGTTCCAAAAATGTATGTATTATAAACGAAAAAGTCATTCTTACGTATTTATTAGAAAAATCTAAAATCTTAAAACCGTCAAACCTCTGGAGCAATTACTCGATGCTTAAGTCCACTATTAACATTAAAAACAATATCGATATAAGCCGATATCCCAAAGTTATCGCTTTTCTTAAAAGGAAATCCGTTGGATACAAAGCAAAGAAATCAAGAGTTTTAAATAAAGAGGAAATAGATAAATTTTTATTAGACGCTGATAATATTTACTTGGCGATAAAGGTAAAAATTAAGTCAAATTTTTTCTTCTTCCTTTTGATCAATTTGTGTCTACTTATATTTTAGGTTGCATTAATAATTGGATTGGCAGGTCTTGTCGGGGTGAGGAATTTTGCAAAATGAGCCTAGATGATATAGAGGATAAAGAAACAATGTTAGTAATAAAAATTCCTAATTCTAAAACAAATATTGAAAGAACCTTTGTAGTAATTGGAAAAGATAATATTTCTTTATACAGAAAATATTTGTCATTACGTCAACCCAACACACCACATCGTAGATTATTTGTATTTTGCAAAAACGGCAAATGTACTGTACAACCCATTGGTATTCACAGTTTTGAAAATATTGCCTCCAAAATTGCCGAACATCTTAAATTGCCACACCCCAAAGAATACACCGGCCACTGTTTACGAAGAAGTTTACCCACTTTATTAGTTGATGGCGGTGGTAGTATCACCAATTTAAAGAGACACGGAGGGTGGAAATCGACGAATGTGGCAGAACGATACCTAGAAAATTCTTTAAGAAACAAACTTGACATAGCCTCCAAGATTCAAAATGGACGTAACGAAATTAATATCTCGAAAGCTAGTACAAGTACTGCAACGTCTAATACTAATTTCAACACAACCATTTTTGCTAATATTCCTAATACTATTAATATAAGTAATTGTTATAATTGTACATTTAATGTTCATAAGTAATATTTATAGTATCTACGGCTGCAGAAAAAATATTATACGTAACGCTACCCGAAAGTGATTTTACGGGACTCGCAGGCTTCTAAGACTCGCCTACGGTTCGTCTTGGAAACTGCCTACTCATCCCGTAAAATATCACTTTCGGGACTTGTTACGTAAACAACTATAAATCTGTTGTAAAAATCGTTTATTAAAAATAACTACAAACTATTTGTGTTTGTTCTATTCCTGTACATTTACATATTTTGTTTTTTATTATTTTTGTATACATATATATTTATTGTCATTTGGGCATATATTATTTATATTTTGTTTATGACCGCTTTGCGTTTGTTAATACTCAACGGTCCTAATTCTATACTTTGCACCCTTTTTTTGTTCTTCACCGATTTGGAAGACTGTCGAACTGCGATACAGAACGAAAACGAATGCGATCGCGTTAAGTTGTAGACTATACAGTTTAAAATTGATCCGAACCGGCAAATTTTGGGAACCTGTTTATACGGCTTTTATTTACTTCGCATTGCGCGACTTCAAGGAAAGTTTCATTCCCAGGATATAAGGAAGACGATTGTCCCTCCCTCCTATCCGGTAAGTTTGAGTAAACCTTTAATTTGTTCATTTACTTCTTTTTTATTATTCATCTTCTGGTATCTCCAGTTCGAAATCAACTAATAAACGATATCAAAAGAAATAAATATTATGGACTTTTGTTTGATTTAACTCCTGATATCTCTCATCGAGAACAAATGTCCCAAGTTGTTAGGTATGTAGATGTTGATTTTATTAATAAAAAAGTTTCCATCAAAGAATCTTTTTTGGGTTTTATTGAAATACATGCTAAAGATGCAGCCTCGATCGAAAATACAATTTTAGAGAAATTAAATTCCGATGAAATTTCATTAACAAACTGCAGATCACAATGTTACGATAATTCTGCCGTGATGGCAGGTCACACATCTGGCGTTCAACAAAGAATAATGGAAAAAATCATAAAGCATTATTTATAAATTGTGATAAACATTCATTGAATTTAGTAGGAGTTACTGCAGCTAAACAAGATCCAATCGTTGTGACATGTTTTAGAATAATTGAAAACCTTTTAGAGATATAGTAGAATATAGTAGAACTATGAGAAAAATTAGCAGAGGACACTACCACTGCGAGTGACTCCAGAAGTGAAGCTACAATTCTGTTGCAAAATATACTTTTAGTTTCATAACTTTAGTTAATTTCTGGTATGAAATCTTAAGGAGGATTGTTAGTGTGCAGCTCAGATTACAAGATCGTAGAATGAATTTTAGAGAAGCGTTCCATGATCTTGAATCATTAGCGACTGAATTAGCTGAAATTCGAGACAAGCTCTGTGAAGAGACAATAGAAAAAGCGAAGTCTCTTTGTGAAAAATGGGATATTGATACAACAATACGTGTAAGAAGACGCCGCAAAATGCCCGGAGAATTGGATAGAGATTTCTCGCGTTATAAAAAGCGTTCTTGATCGTCTCCAACAAGAAATATGCACATGATTTACACGATTAAGTGACCTTAATTTCAAATTTGGATTTCTACTAGACGTTGAAAATTTATTAAACAAGGATAATGTTGAAAGCGAGCTTGAAAAAAAATGTAAAAATTTGGGTGAATTTTATAATACAGATTTCAATGAAATAGAACTCTTAATCGAAATATGTGACTGCAAAATGTTACTTTGCAGTAGAAAAGAAACTGAACCTAAAACTCCATTATAATTTCTTACTTTAATGCGCCCCACACACAAGCTATTTCTACGGCGTTTTGGCAGCTAGCGTTGTCGCAAGCGTTCTAGACACACAAAAATCGCCCGAAAAACGCGCAGCCGAAATCAATCGTGTTTGATTTTTGCGTCAAGAAAGTCGGCGAAATGCTTTAAAACAGCTTGTGTGTGTCGACGTTTTGCACAATCAGAAGAATTTATTTCTGCTTTCATTGAATTATTATCTTGTATTTTTAATACCGGTGTGATTTTGTGTAATTATAATTAGTGCACTTGCTATTTTTTTTTGCCTAAATGAAATTTTTAATCCTTTCTCGTAGGCGAATCGCGAACTACTGAAACGCTTGAGTGTGGGGCGCATTATAATCTCGTATGGAAGAGATGTTTTTCCAAACCTTAGAGTGGCACTTCAAATACTTTCGACTCAGTATCAATTGCTAGCTGCGAACGTTCATTCAGCAAATTAAAATTAATTTTGACATATCTACGATTAACGATGGGACAAGATCACCTAAATGACCTATAATTTTTAAGTGTGGAAAGAAAAAAATTTGAAATAATCAACTGTGATGATATTGTTGATAAATTTGCTATATCGAAAGCAAGGAAAATTTATACATAATAATTAGTTTTATTAATCTATTATAATCATATTATTATTAAATATATGTATCTTCTTAGAGATAATAAATATTTTCTTTTTTATTGTTTTAAAACGGCGTGTTTTTAAAATATTTATAAATATGTAAAATAAATAATAGGTATCTTTTGAACTAATTCTAGATGATCATATACATTTCAAAATCTAGTTTTGTTTTCTCAATTACATTTTTTGTCTCAAATTTAAAGCCTAGCTTGATCCTATGACTTTATTTTACTTTATTTATTTATTAATTTGCGAGTATATTTTACATATATCATATGATCTTCGAATGGGGGGGGGGGGGGGACGCTAAAAAGGTATTGTGCCCCGGGCGCCAGTTAAGCTTACTACGCCACTGACAAGTCAGTAACGAACGACCTGCCACCTACAGTCCATTTGGCTATTATCACAGAAACAAGGACGTAACTTTGAAATTTGGCCATTGCCGATTCGACTCAAATAGTTTTGCACTCCACAGGACACTTATCTTTATTAGAAACATTGATTTATTTTTTAATACAGTACTTAATACTTACGTGTTCTTATTACTTATTATTTTTTAAACTTCCACTAATAATAATCACTTTACATATGTTCAGCAAAAGGAGCCAGATAGGTACTTTTATATTATGTACCTAATCAGAACCCTTCATAGATAAGTTCATTCCTTAGATAAAAGAGACCAGAGATATAACATCATGGAGTTATAAGGTAGGTCCCGATGATTTATATGGATCGAAGGTGCGTATTTCTCATGTTAATTTCTCTGTTATGAGTACCCATTTTGCAGTTTCCTACTCTTAGCTGGACACTCTTTTTGACAGTTCCACCAGTTCGTGTGGGTTTGGTTTGCTACATTCGGGTTTGTTGTGCAATCAGGGAAATCAGCTTTGAGAAGTAGTTTAAGTGTTTCTGTGAGATCCATAGATAATAAAACTATCTATGATGAGATCTGTATTACTGTATTCCCATTTATAAATGGTAATGTTAGTACCCGCAACGCCATCTATGTTTCAGCTTTATATAAGTGTTTCTCCTGTCACCGTCATCTGTAGTCTGTGACCCCATAGGATTAGAGATCATACATAGATGTCGCCACGAGTACTAAATAAGAGTCAAATGCGCAGCGTCTCGCATCACAAGTTCATATTTTATTAGAATCAGTCCCTATTAATGCCACTTATTTTGACATCTAAGCATGCGCAGATCGTTTATGTTCTAAAACTGACTTTATTAAAGATTGTGCCTGTCCTTAATTGTGGATGTTTAAGGGCAGCAGCATGGAGGAAGGATAATTGGCAGCAGGTAGTGGCGACTTTATAGCTTTCGGGTGCACTCGCCGATATTTGTATACGTTCGAAGTTTTTTAATAATAAATATTTAATATAATCGTCATCTAAACATTCCTAAATTATAATTTCTAATTCCTCTTCTATATTTTGTACTATTATAGACAACAAAAAAGATGAACTATAATTTAAAGTTATTAAAATGAATTCGAGAGACGCTAAAATGGTGGTTCCCACCTTATCGAGACTGAGGCCCACAAGGGTAAACTCGTAGCGTAACAAAAACGAGAAATGATTTAACTTAGAACGAAATGCCGATAGTAGTATTAGCACGTTGAATTTGTTGGTTTGTGAAGCATTGGCATTACTTAGGTTAAACCATGTGATGATTTTCACAAGCCTTGATTTTTAAAACCATTCTATATCGCCTTTTGATTAGGGTTTACAAACTTGTTCGAGCAATTTATCCAATAATAATTGGCCCCTTTACCTCTTAACACGTTGAGCGCCACACTGAAAACAGTATATGCACCCTGTGGACCGCACCCAGAGCTGTTTAAGATCATTTTAAAAACGATTTAAATCAAAGATCATAAATAGTTTGCATTTGAACAAATGATTTAAATCAAAGATCGATTTTTACAATAAAAAGATTTAAATCAAAAATCTTTTTTAGATTTAAATCTTTTTTACAATTTAAATCATTTTAGGAAAGATTTAAATCTTTTTGAAAGATTTAAATCATTTTAGGAAAGATTTAAATCTTTTTTTACAATTTAAACCATTTTAGGAAAGATTTAAATCTTTTCGAAAGATTTAAATCATTTTTAGGAAAGATTTAAATCTTTTCGAAAGATTTAAATCTTTTCAAAAGATTTAAATCTTTTCAAAAGATTTAAATCTTTTTATAGATTTGGGTAACTCTTTAAAAAATGCTTTCGGTATGCCAAAGATAGATAATGAATACTTTTCTCGTATTTATTTTTTATCGTTATTAGCCCAATGCAATTCTTACCGAAATATTAATTTTAAATAATAAATATCCGATCAAGATAAATTTTTTAAGGATTTATGCAGCATTGATATCTATAGTTATGAAAATTGTTATTTAAAAATGTCATGTTGATTGGTAAATAGGAATTTTTCAACCCTTTAAAAGATTCTTTTGGTATGCCTATGATGCCACAAAACAATGGAGACCTAGTTTTTAAGAAAAGTGATTTTTTTTCTGAAAAATATCTTAAATCCGTCAACTCTTCCTTGAGTTAACGTGCTTAATGTCATACATACATAAACACCCACAGATGCACATACATCAGACTCTTTAAAAATATGTTTTTTTGTACTTAGGAGACTCTCTCGGAAAAATGCATTTCATTTTCAAAATCTCCCGACTAAGAATAATGAAATTGAGTGGGTTGAATTAAAAGAGTTCTTCTCTTAACCTGAAGTTATTGCGAGTAAATAAATAGCCAAATTAGGCGCGTTTGGGTTAATTTTTTTGATGAATGTGTGGATGAATCAGGCAAAGAAATAAAAAATTTAATTAATTCGCTCTTTCTATGCCAAGCATATTTATTGAACTGGTCAAAAAGTCATAATCGTCTTAATGCAACTAATGTCAAATCTGGACTAAAAGTGTGCATAAATTTAAAATACATATGTAAAGAGTTTCAGGATTATATCGATAATGAAAAAGTATTTCCAGCTGCTTGCGGTGTAAAAAATACAACTTTACAAAAAAAAATATCGGGTCAAAAATATTGTAAAATTTCATACTTAAGAATAATCTTTAGACATTGCAAATATTTGTTACACTTTACTTTTTTTTGTTTTTCTTTTCTCTCGGATTTCTGATTCAACCCTATGTAACGTTCATTTTTGGCCCCACGAATTAATAACATTGTTTTGGCTTACCTGATTAATCATACGAAAAAAAAGGGTAAAATCGTATTGATGATATCACTATTATTTTTGTCATTAACTAATTTCACCTGTATTCTAACTTTTGGACATCTTTATTATAATTTATTTCATCTCACCACTAAGTAAAAGGTAGTATAATACTTTGTACATTGGTCATATTTGCGGTGTAGTGTTCCCTGTTTTAATTTGCCAGATTCTCCTAAAAATAGACCACGTTTCATTGTAAATTTATACATATTATGTATTATAGTCTCACCTTTGGGTAATTAATTATTTACGATACCATTCTTTAAGAATTTCATTGTTTATTTTTATTAGGTTAATATTTCTTAATTGTGACAGTGAATGACATAAACGTCACTTGACGACAGAACACCGACAAGTGTCATGTTTGTAGTACGTTCCAATGACGGGCTCAGAACCCGAGGTAAGGTAGTTTCACAATGAGCGATTTTAAGTCGTGAGGGATTTTTTTGCGATCGCTGTGGTATTAATTTTTGTCGGGAACAGTTTCCCAAATGTAGTTATACTGTATATAAATATAGTTTCTAGGGTACCTTTCGTAAATGGTCTGTTAAGTTATATAGTGGGGAATTCTTGAGGATGAATTTCTGAACCCACTTGACATTTATCGGAAAGGGATTTCGGCCATTTTGGACGGCTGACGTATTGTTTCTGTCAGTGGGTGATTGAATCACAAGAAGGACGAATTTTGCGTCGAAGTAGAATTTTCTTAATATTTAGCCCCATCGGCTTACCCTAGTTAAAGGGGATTTTAGATTCTACTTCATGGTTAATTGTGGGTAAATGGACATTTCGTATTTTGAGGAATTTTAGTGTATTAGTAAATTCCTATGGTCATTGGTCCAGCCCATATCTATTATAGGATTTTAACGCAATAATTGGAAAATCACAGCATTTGGAGTGTGGAATATTGTTGTGCTGTGGATCTTCTCACGTGTTTCTCATCCTTGGAAGACTACCAAGTTAACCCTTTACGAAAAAGGTATGTTTTGTATATATTAGGTTATGTTACCAACCATGTGTAACAGAATTTTAATTATTGGAGCTCATAATACTGTTTATGACTCACTGTTGAGCCAATGTAGTTTTTCTTTATCCTAGATACTGAATATTTTCTAGTTTATGTACATTTTTGGGTAATCCTATAGTTCGGGATACTTGAGTCAATGTGTATTGACATTTTTCTTTGTAATATTTTAAGGGTTTAACCCAGGGGGTTGTTAGCCCAGGATTCGACGACAGTTTGACCCAAGGGATTGTTGACCCAGGATTTCAACAGTTGTACACAGAGGGTTATATCGTCCGGAGTTCAACGGTTTCATCATGGACTCATCGAGGGGACACAGAACATTGGTATGCTAGCCACCTAGTTTACTTGTAGCTAGATTTACAAGAATGTTTCTTGTTCTGGATAGGAAGATGGGAATGCTGTGAAAGAAGACACCCTACTATCAGGTTTTTTTTATACTTTATACTGAAGGTTTCATGTGTGCATTGTTAAACTATACATTCACTTTCAACCGAATGTTGTCAAGGTATTCTCAACATTATTTATACTTTTGAGCACAGAATGTTCTAGGGTTCCTTCACACATAACTTAAGTATTATCAAATGTTACATCGTTTAATTGATTAATATTTTAAAGCTTTTACTTAATTTAAGCACTTAATGCTGATGTAGTAATCCTTCGGGTCGCAGAACACTTGGACTGCTTCCACGTTTAAGTTGTAATTCTTCAGTTATTAAGGGCTACTGCCATAATTTTACTTTTTTTCAATTTATTCATTATTAAATGGTCAAGACTTAACTATAAGTTAAGCAATCTCAGAAGACCCGTGTGGGGGCAGAGATTAAGTAACCTCTTCCAATCTGGGAGTTTAATTAAATAACCTCTGTCTAAAGTCCTTTATATGTTGTATTTTTATTATTTTTTTGATATTTTTATTTAGTTCTATGAATTATACTTAATTATAAAATTTCATGGTTTAATAATTTTCTTTTGGGTAGTTTGGTCTTAACCAAAAGTTAAGCAGATATCGCCTTCCAATTTGGAGAGGGTTATAAGATTATAAAGATTATAAGTTTACTGTTTTTATAATATATGAAGTAGTATAGGTACGGTGATGCACAATATTTAAGTTAACTATTATATTATATTTTTTTTATGTAAGGTGGAAATTAATGTTTTGCGCAAGCGTCATGCCTGGTACCAAGCTAACGACGAACCGTTCCATACTTTGATACATTTATTAATTTTTTTTTTGGGTTATGCATATACATACACTGTGTAAGTTTTTCCTTTTAATTTCCTCCAACTTTTTTTTTTTTTAATATCTAAGCCATCAGGTAATTAGTTTGTATATTTACTAAATATTTTTATTTTTTTTCTTTATAAAGGAACATAAGTTGA